CCCCATTGGGGTATGGGCTGAAACTCATGATGAATATGATTAAAAAAGGCCCGCTTAGTGCTCACAGGGGAAAAAAAGAGAGAAAATCTCTATCCTGATACTTTTTTAATATCTATACTAACAGTTTTTCTCTTCTGAGAAAATTTTTCTATTAAGTTTTGATTCTGCTGCCATTTATTTACCCACATGTGGAAGAAACATGACAATCACATACTGAGTCATCCTTTTTCCTGATTGGTCAATATCAGGGAAGCACAACTACAATGGGAACAGTGTAAGATTAAATGACATTCACTTGTCATTAACCTCAGAGTCTGTTCATACAAAGTAAATGTGGACTCAGACTAAGTACACCAAGCACCTAAAGCAAGTTTATCATGTTATCTCAATTTTGATTATTACCAGTTTAAACAAGCAATTGCTCCTTCTGTCTTGACAAGAATTGATGATTACCACTTGTCTTGAACCATTCTATGTATTTGGAGACTAAATTGTTTTACCCCTCAGGCTACAAAGGGAACTTGTATGGAACAACCAGTCAAACAACTTTCCCCATCAGCCAATTTTGTTTCAAATGGATTAAGCTGATTTTGGCTGATCTTGTGCTTAAAGAGTTAAATAAAAGGAAATGAGGTCCCAACTTGGCATTAGATTTGGTAGTTAACATCAAAATATTTAATTTTTTTTATTGATTCCATCCAACACAAGATCTATATCCTGCAGGCCATTCACTTTATCATTTTGGCATGGCAACAAGTGACCTCAGTCTACAATCCAGAACTGCTTTGTAAAGTGTGGCTATGTGAAGAAGAATAAAGAAATGTGAGATATACAGTACAATGGTCAATGGAAATGTTAAGGATGACATCCTGCAAGATGAAGACTAGATTTGGTTAGGAACAAACACTGCTAGTATGGACTTTGATACCTACGTGTCTATGGACTTATGTTTGTAACATGTGTGCTAGAATAGGGAGAATATGAAGTGAAGTAGAAAGTAGAAGTTGTGTGAAAGAAGGTCAAGGAGTGATGATTAACAAGACAACAATGAAACTAAGTTTGAATCAATGCTGAGTTTTACAGAAGCACTTTGTGATTCAAGCCCATAAGTATTTTTGTATGCTCATGACATCACCAGAGACCAAGCAAACATTATGAGCAGTAATGACTCATATCTATCTAATATGGAGTGCTGAATTACAACTACAGTCAAAGCAGTTTAACATCACATTTATTGGACTGTCAGCAGAATTGACATTAAAAGAAGTCAAATAGAAGAGTTTGAGATTTGATGAAACGATTTTAATTATGCCAGTAAATGTAGGATATTGTATTCTGTACGAGTATACAATATCCTAAATTTGACACATTAAATGCATAACAAATAGTTTTATCATTAAGCACAAAATTTATTACATTTACTGTATTCATAAAATAAAGTAAAAAAAATTTAGCTGCCAATTTTTATTATAATGAGAATTATACAGTAGGATAATGCCTTACAGCATTACCAACTTTGAAGATGAAAACTACTAGTGTTTTCAAAAACATTTTGGACAAGAAAACAGTCAGATTTTACACTTAAAAAAACCATAAAAAAATATCCATTTAAAAAGTTATTTATCATATATTTTGTTATAAATTAAAAACTATTAATAATTTAAAAAGTCAATAGACAGCAGAGTGACATTAACCAGATAAAATCATATTTACTTATGAAGGTTGGCTAGGAATAAAAATTTCTGTAACAATAGAAAAAAAAATATAATTAATGAATGTTCTCAATATCCAGAAGTCTGAGATACTGTGCACTATATTACTGTAGTTAGTGTGTTACTAAATACTATGCATTACCATATACTGTACGGTTATGAAAAATTTTGAATGCATTTCCTATAATAATAAATTTGATAAAACCTACTAAAGCTAGGTAAAACCTTTGTATATAGCTGATCACAATAAATTATTGCAAGTCAAGGAGGTTTTGTGTAGTGACAAGCTAAGTCAAGTTTTTACTCGTCAGAGCAATTCTGGAAAGGGACGGTTGGCGAGTCACCTGGACAAGTCAAGACAGGTATGCCAACTGGAGTGGAATACCGTGTTTCCCCGAAAATAAGACCTAGCATAGGTTTTCCTGAATTGCTAAATATAAGGCCCCCCCCGAAAGTAAGACCTAGCAAAGTTTTTTTTACTCGTAACAGTCATCGACAGTGGCCGTTGGCTTTTTGAAAGTACAGCCACTGATTGGTCAGCAGACAATCACACCACATGGCATGATTTGCATAAAACTATGGCTTGGGTATCACAGATTTGCATAACCTCACAGCTGGTGATGGCTAATTAGTCAGCTGGGAATCACGCCACATCACATTTGCATAGTGCTACGGTTCAATAAGCACTAATTGGTCATCGAGCCCAATGTCGATGCTATAAAAAGGTTAAGTTGAAACGAGAGTGGGAAGTCCACTCCAGCATGGGAACTTTGTAAGTTCACTTCGGTTTTATTTAAGTTCAGTTCAACACGACCGGATATACGTCATTCTCGTCTAAGTTCAACTTGGGAATTTTTTTGTTCAATAATAAATGTGAAATTCTTCTTCATGGAAAAAATAAGACATCCCCTGAAAATAACACCTAGCACATCTTTCAGAGCAAAAATTAATATAAGACACTGTCTTATTTTCGGGGAAACACAGTAGTTAGAAAGCTCAGCTCAGCTCCTGATTGATCGGCCAACGAATCTAGAACTTATATCTAAGGCAACATGACCACTGGAACGAGAGCCTAGCCTAAGACTGTAAGGAAAAAGGAGTCCGGACTAAGATCTTGTAGTTAGTAACAATCAAGATGGATTGCTGTGTATCTCTGTAAATAGTGTTAAATAAATAGTCTTAATTTGCATTCAAGGAGTGGTAAGGTGTTCTTTTTGATGGACTGGAAATCGGAAGACACAATTTGAACTTTACTCAGTACTCATGTCCACCTTCTCGTTTTCCACATCAGAAAAAAACACCGCATTAACTCAGACAACCTTCACCTACTATTAGTAGAGCCAGCAGGGGTTTTACTGTATTTTTTGTATTTTATATAATGATAATAAGATATAAATTTTGATACAAAATAATTTTTGATTGCATTTTAACAAAGGTTTTTGAAAAAGTTCAGCTAATGTATGATCTATTTTCCTTAAACTAGACTTAAAAGTATTATGTTGTTTTTCTGAAAAACACTTATTTTGATCTTAACATATTATTATTATTATTATTATGAATATTTGGAAATTAGTTTATTCATTTTCAAACTCATATATAAGAACACACAACCTGATACATTCAGAAGATTATTTGGTATTTCAAACTAATAAATTATTAATATGTATATTCACCAAAAACTTTAAATATGTGCATTTTCTTTCACTGTCTCTTAAACTTATTAAAATACATGTGTGAAAAAATAATATACAGTAGAGCATCATTTATCCTAAAGCTGATCAACTGAAATGTTGGTTTAACGAAAGCATTCCAGTCAAACTGTGTCGTGCTAAATTGAACATTTCTGATACTAGATTAACTTCTAAAGTATAATATTTTTTTTGTTTTTATATTTTTCAATATATTTATTTTGTTTGTACAAAATAAAGAAATAATTTTTAACAATACAATAGCCATAATTATTATTTTAAAAAATTTACGTTAGGTTTAACATCAACGAAAATTCAACGCGAAGCAACACGCAACAGAAAAAAATTTCAACATGGGATAGGTTAATATATTTTTTTGTATATAATTGGTTATCTGAAAAATAAGTTATCCAAACAATCCCAGTCCCCAACTGATTTGGATAAATGATGCTCTAATGTAGTACATCTTTTAGAACTTCACAGAAAACAATATTTATACTATCATTTCTGATCCAATCATTAATATTTCAATTCTAATTACGTTAAATCATACAAATTATTCAAGTTAAAAATAAATGCAAGTTTGAATAGTTTAACTTCCTCTATTTAGTATAATTATTAATTAGCTAGAACCCAAGATGTCTTTTATTTTTCAATGTATACAAATAGGAATGCTTAGCTTTTTCCTATTTGTATACATTAAAAATAAAAGTTTAAAGATGACTGCTATGCTTTTATTTTATATATATAAATATAAGTAAAAAAATAACATTACACATCCAGTAAAACTTTGGTACTGGATGTGTAATGTTATGTTTACCTAAATTTTATTACATGAATGAATGAATTATTATTACATTATTAAATATTAATAAAATAAAATAGACATTCAGTGTTCTGTGTACAGAATTCAATTCGTAATTTTAAAAAATGTAAAAAGCATAATGAAATAACTTTGCTATCAAAATGTTGGAACACAATTCAAAGAAAAAACATTGTTGTTAGAACTGTTTTCATTTAACTTTGGTAATGTTGAAACAATGTTATTCATTGTTTCAACATTACCAAAGTTAAATGAAAACAGTTCTAGCCTTTTCCAACAGAAGTATTTTATTAATCAAATGTGTTTGACCGACTGGATGGCCATCTTCAGAATTGACAAACAACAGATTGGAATAGGAAAATGGAATTTATACAATTTTAAAATTTAAAAAAAATTATAAATTCTTAGATTTGCTTCAAAAATGAAACAATAGGTAAGGGAAATGAAACAAACAAAAGATAAAAACACATCAAACAAAAATACAGTTTGATTAGCAGTATGTAACTTTTACTATTAAAATTATTTCATTTAAGTATTACAAAAAGTTATTGAAATAAATAATAATGAATTCCTTAAATACAAAAGTTTTTAAAAATAATTAGAAAATTTAAAAAACAATAAATGATTCTTAATCAGTGAACTAGCAAGAAAAAGAGACCATATTAAACAAATTGAAAGAATCAAATATAGATAAAAATAATAATTCAAGAATAAGAAATTAAAAATTTTCTGCAATTTCTATACTGTGAATTTAAAGTAATTAAAACTTGTAATTACTTTCTTATCCTTATGCTTAACCTTATTTGGTTGTGTTTCCTCAGTAACTTTAGAATTTGCTTCCTCCTCCTCCTCCTCCTCTTTCTTCTCTTCCTCATCCTTTTCCTTTCTTGACTTCTTTGATTTCTAAACATTACATTTAGGAAATTTTTAGATAATTAGATAATTAATATTCAGATGAAACGAAATATTTACAAATTAATTGTCTCTCAATTAATTTTATACAATAATACTATACATAAGCAAAAGTAAAATTAAAAATAGAAACTTAAATGTTATTTGTATATATAAATAGATTTATTTAATATAATATAAATTTCACAAAGAAAGTTCACACATAAACCTAGATTTTCTTTTAAATTTTATTTTTTTTAAAAAACTTATTTTTTAGCATATATTCCCTGTATCTCTACACAGTATACACAAAATTTCTTTGATTCTAAGACACATGAGTTTGAAATCAAATTTTAAGACTTTTTGAAAAAAAGGAAAAATCTTAAGACAATAAAATTCATTATTTTAAGTAATAACAAGCCAGAAATACAATACAAGTACAGTGAGTTCTATTTTTAAATTTAACACGTGTGTTCTATAGAAATTCCTTTTAAAAATTACAGTATGAATTGTGTAACTTTTCCCAGAAGAGTTAAAATTGTGTGGGCACCATCTGTTATAAAAAGTTTTTGTAAAATCCAGGGGTAAGTTTAGAAATGTTACTCTTCTAAACCATACATACATCATGGTAAACAAGTTGTCTGATAGGGGAGAAAAGAAGGGGTAACCAGGATGAAGATGAGTTTATAAATGGAAGACAGTAATAAATTTGCAAATGAATGTAAGTGAGAGTTGTTAATCATGGGAAAATTTATGTAACTTTAACAGAAAATCAAAAATATCTAAAAAATTTTGTTATAAATGAATTGGAATTTATAAAAACGTACAAATATATAAGATTTTACAAGTTTTTAAAATAACATCATTACAAGAAAACATGTTGCAAGTGTTAATTAATTATAAGATAAACAAATGCCAAGAAAACAATTGTAAAAATTGACTGAAGGAGGACTAAAAGACAAAATCTAAATTCATTCAGACTTAGTCCCTCTTCAGTCAAATAAAGGATATTATAAGTGGTCTGAATTGTCTGTTAAGATTGGCCATTATGACAAATCTAAGTAAAAGTGAATGAAGTAACCCATAAAGATGTCAAAAATAGGTAATGTTTGGCAGCTATAGCTATTTTGTGTTCTGTATGTACAAAACTTTTAGTTTTAACATTATGTCAATGTCATCTTGAAGACATTTTAAACATTAAAAATGAGTTTAAATTAAATGTACACATTCAACAAAACTAATTTAAATAGATTTAACTACTGAAATATATAGCTAAAAATATCTATTACTGGCAGACTGTATGATCTACTTGTGATAATACTAATTGTTATTATGTATACTCATATATTAGATTGTTGCAAATGAAATGGCCAATTTTTACTTCTGACTTTGAATGTTTAATTCAAAGTCAGAAGTAAAATTAGTAAAATCTATTTAAATTAGTTTTGTTGAATGTGTACATTTAATTTGAACTCATTTTTAATGTTTAAAATGTCTTCAAGATGACATTGACATAATGTTAATTTAAAACTTATATATTCAATCAAAATTGTCTCCACCAACATTAATACACTTTTCCCAATGCAATAGAAATGTATTAACATCAATTTGGTAGAAATCATGAGAATGAGAAGCCAAAAAGACATTAAAGGTACTTTTTATTACATCCTCTTCCTTGAAACCTTTTCTTGCCAAAAAACTGTTCAAATGTATAAAAAAGTGATAGTCTATTGGAAAAAAGTCTGAAGAATAAGATGGATGAGAGAAGAATTTTATTTGAACACTTTCATTTTTGTGACAAATAATTAAAGAATTGCAGACCTCCAAGTGATGCTCCTTATCTCTCTCTCAGAGTTCATGTGATACCCATTTGTCAAGCTTCTTGACTTTCCCAACATGTTTAGATGTTGTGAAATGGGTAAATAATGTCCAGTATGTTCAACCTTTCCACGAGTTCCCAGTCAGTCAGGCAATGTTCTGATTCAATGATGATCTTCAATTCTGGTTTGTGAGATTTATATTCCCGGAATAAAATTTTCTGAACCAATTCATGGTAGCATGCTCATTCACAGAACCTTCATCAAAAGTTTATTGGTATTTCAGGTTGCTTCAGCTTCATCATGTCATTGCTTATACTCAAAAAAGAAAATTATTCAATGCTGTCAGAAAAAGTACTTTTAAACATGTGGAACACACAATATAAATGAGATTACATTTTTAAATTCACATATATGTGTACTCTTCCAATTGCAAAACACAGCACTGTTCATATGGAAAAAAGTTAAATTACAAGGCCAAAAAGTTTAAATTTTAAAAATCAGTCATTTCATTTGCAACGACATTATATATAATGTTCCTTATAATAAGCAAGCATCATTTGGATTCACAAAAGAAAAACCACATCAAATAATTCTATGCAGATTTATTTCCATTATGCCATTATGTTACCTTATACACAATAAATTTTTCTAACTGATGTCCACAGAGGGTTAACAAGATATTTATACAAGAGAAAATCAAAAGATCAATTCTATATATTTTTTTTTTTTTTTAATTTACAGTTCAGAAATATGGAAGGAATATACAGTAGAGCGTCGATTTTCCGAATCAATTGGGGACTGGGGTTGTCCGGATAATTGATATTTCGGATAACTGATTTTCGTAAAAAAAAAATAGTTTAACGTATCCGATTTCAAAATTTTTCTCTGTTGCGTGTCGCTTCACGTTGAATTTTCGTCGATGTTAAGCCTAACAAAGACTATTGTATCGTTAAAAATTATTTTTTTATTTTGTACAAACAAAATAAACATATTGAAAAATATAAAAACATTAAAAAATTATACTTCAGAAGTTAATTTAGTATCAAAAACGTAAAATATTTGAGTAGCCCAAGAAATAGCCAAAGATTGAAGCGCCACAGCACTGGCGAAAATTTAAATTTGCCGACCGGAATTCTTTCGGATGATTGACTTTCGGAAAATCGACGCTCTACTGTATGTATGTATTCAGTCTACTCTTCATTGCAGCCATCTTGTTTATTGAAATGTTTATTTTTAAATTGCTTCTTATCTATTTTTGTTAACTGTAGTATATTTCTTCTTAGTTGTTTCAAAGTATGACTGCTTATGAGAATAGAATGACAACAGAAAACAATCCTTTCTTTGACAATGACGCTATATCAGATTTAACTGCCTTGGCCAGCTGGCCATCCCTCTACACATTGCCAGAATATAGTAATGAGAAAGGAAAAACATGGCAACAATGTCTCTCTTTTCTAAGTAAGAGTTCTAAGTTCTTGTTTTAACAAGTGCCTAATTACCTGGTATTTCAATTCTCAACTTCTTTTCTTTACATTCACTAGGTTGTGGTTGTGGACACTTCAATAGAGTTGACTCATTTCACTTTTTACACAGATGGATATTTGTAAAAAGTATATTATTTTTGTTTAATTTACTAATAATTTACTGAAAAGAATATTAGCTCAAAATTTGTTGCTTAAACACTATGTAGTGTAATTAATCGATCACTTGGCATTCCTTCATCATCTTATTTCCAAATCAGTTGATATACATTTTTTAGATACACGTTTTGGGCTTAAATTGCCCCTCTTCAGTCAACTGTAGATCACAGTCTTTTAAACCAAACATTATTAGATATGAACCCAATAGGTTTACACAGTTATTATTCTTGTCTATCTTCGCTCCTCCTTTTGGACTGCCATAATAATGCACTTGAAGGGTAGGTGTACCGTCATTATGGAATTTTTTTATGTCCACCTATTTGCTGTTTTTATAATTTTATACTTGTGTTGTTAGTGTTCTCATGTCTACGTTTCAAAGAGCAGTAGGGCATGAAAGCAAATTTTACATTTCAAATTCTTTTTTTTTTCCATTGATAAAATCTAATAAAACTATATGGTTTTATTAGATTAGATTCCATTGATAAAATATAATAAAACTATATGGTTTTATTAGATTTTATCAATGGAAAAAACAGAATTTGAAATGTAAAATTTGCTTTCACGCCCTATTGCTCTTTGAAGATGGAAGTTGAATTTTGGGGTTCCAACTAAACATGTGGCCACTATCTACAGAAGTTCAAATTTCTTCTGATGTTTAAAAACTTTTTGATTCAATGTTAAGAAGAGATAGATTTAGTCTCAAAAGACATTTTACTTTATAAAATTAATTTGACTCCCTTACTATTTACTGTTTCATTATTAATGCTTAGTTATTACAGATGGAGTCGTGTGTGACAAAAGACAATACAGTGGGTGATCGGTTAACGAACATAATCCATTCCAAGACTTTGTTCGCTATCCAAATTGTTCATTAACCGAATACCGATTTACCATAGGTTTCTATGGGAATTTGATTAATTTGTTCTGGAAACCTCCCAAAATAAAAAATATATACTTTCTTACTACATTTATTCATATGTAATAATAAAAATACATATATACACGGTTTTGAATTTTTATTAGTCATGTTTTTTTCTGTTTGTGGGGGTTAAAGAACCTGTCCAATGTCGATTGCTTCAGAAGTAATTAATAACATTGTAATTGTAGAGATCCCTAGGCCTATTAACTTCAACCTGGTTTAGATGCCATTTAAGACTGTTGTTCCGACATCCTCCCACTTCTTCAAAAAATCTTTAATAGCAGATATCGGCATAAATCCACATTTTCAGAAGAAAACATAAAAGAATTGTTTCTGTCAGAAATATAAAAGGCTGGAATTACAAGAAAGCATTTCAAATTTTGGGGGAATACTATCTGATCAGTGTATACTGGGTAGAACGTCGATGTCTCCTGCGCTCTGAAAAGTTTCGAATTGTTGCCTGAAGACAAAAGAAGACCAATCAGTATTCATTATTTTATGTCGCTTCTTCTTGTGTTTGTTCAGTGAAGTGTTCATTGTCCGATCATAAAAATTTTTCGCGAAAGTGTTTGTTATTCGATTTGTTCATTAACCAATCACCCACTGTATAAATATATAAATTAAAATAAATTTAAACAGATTTTACATACCTTGTGTTCTTTATGTTCAGACTTTCGTTTCTGCTGACTTTCTCCTTTCTAAGAGTAAAATTTTTTTTAATCAAACTGAAATTTTAATTATCTTTTATTTTAAATTAAACTTTAAGAACAAGACAATGGATTTTTATATATTAACAATAACAAAAATTTAGAGATTAACAAAAGCAATTCAGATTATTTTTGTCTATTTCAAAGATATTTTTCAAAGATGACAGCTAAATGCTGGATATATTATGTTCAATTTACTTGATAGCCTAAAGTCCAGCAAAAGTTCTTTACTCATACAAATGGTTTTTCATCCACATTCCATTGGACATCATGCTGTGAAAATGGAACCAAAATGTTTGAAAATTTGAATGCAGCAAGTTGTTGTTCATTGATTGGTGGATCTGGGTCGTCACTGATCGGAGGAGACAATTCCCATATGAACCTGTGGTTTATGGGTGATAAAGGAATGCACATCTCAAGACCCAAAATCCACCTTAATCTTAAATGTACAAGTCAATCACATACAATGCAGTACTGGTTCTTATTTACAAAAAGACAGCATGCACAAATAACATCAAGCTGGCCTACAAAAGGAGCCCATACATTTCTCTACTTAGAAATGGCAAGGACCAACCATGTTTGACAACACTCCTCAGGCATATACTCCATCCCTTTGACTGACTACAGAACCAGAAATGAAGTACATTGGAGCTACTGGAAAACAATCACTTCCCACTTAAAAGAACACCAAACAAAAATTTACAGGGTTAGTGTCCTATTACATTATCAACTTATGCTTCCGACCTAAATGTGGCAGTCATTTTGATAAGACCAGCATCCTCTACCAAATGTCTAACAAGGAGCAACTCCACTACCTTAAGCTGCTTGAAATATACAAGGCAGTATTGAATAAGAAGGCAATCAACTTTAAGCATGACCACACATTCCCTAATCCATGGAAATTTTTCCTTCACCAAGAAAAAATTTCCACAGGTTCATACAGAAACTGTCTCCTCAAATCAGTGACTGCCCAGATCAGAAATATCTCCACCAATCAATGAATGATAACTCTACGCATTCAGATTTTCAAACATCATGGCTCCATTTTCCATTTTTACAGCCTGGTGATGTCCAATGGAATGTGGACAAAAACATTTGACATTTGCATGAGTAAAGAACTTTTGCTGGACTTTAGGCTATCAAGTGAATTGAAATTCTTAAAATTTTCATTTATAAATAAGCCACAAAATGATATACAGTAGAGCGCCGTTTATCCGAAAGTCGGTTATCCGAAAGAATTCCAGTCAGCAAACTTAAATTTTCGCTATTGCTGTGGTGCTGCAATCTTTGGTTATATCTTGGGCTACTCCAATATTTTTTTTTGTTGATGTGTGTGTTTTAGCTGGCAGCACTGGCACTTTTGTGTGGTGTTTTTCTAAGGACTGTATGTGGTGCTGAATCGAACGTTTTTGATACTAGATCAACTTCTAAAGTATATATTTTTTTGGTTTTTATATTTTTCAATATATTTATTTTGTTTGTACAAAATAAAAAAATAATTTTTAACGATACAATAGCCACGATTATTATTTTAAAAAGTTTACGTTAGGCTTAACATCGATGAAAATTCAACGTGAAGCGACACGCAACAGAGAAAAATTTCAACATGGGATAGGTTAATATATTTTTTCGTATATAATCGGTTATCCGAAAAATAAGTTATCCAAACAACTCCAGTCCCCAATTGATTCGGATAAACAACACTCTACTGTATTATTATAGAATTTAATATTTATTTTTAATTGTTCCATTTTATTCATAATTTATTTAAAGGAAAACATTTTATTATTATTAATTATAAATAAATAAATAAAAATTATTAATATTAATAAAAATCATTGGACTTAGTATTTTATTATAATAAAAAACTAAAGTCCAGTGATCTTGTTTTAGGCAAACAATTTAGAGAATATGATATGAATAAAAATTATAAAATAAACATACTGTGATATGAAGTATTTTCTTAGAAATATGACATTTGTCTATTTAAGCAATTCAAACTGTTGCATTATCATCTCAAATTTACTAAAAGTATATATTCTCTCTTTTTTAAACATTTTACAAGATATGGATTATAGTGCATCTGAGCCACCATATTTTACATCAGAATACCCAAGTGCATGCACATTTCTTTTTCATTGTTTGAAATAGGACTACTTGAGAAAAAAGACAAGCAAAAATCAAATGATTTTAGCAAAAGAAAGTTGCAATAAAAAATATTTGAAAGAAAAAAATTCCTATCATCAAACAATAGGAAATATTCTATTTATAAAAATTTCAATAGCTAACAGACTGATAAATATTAAAAACAAAACAAAAATTCAGTCAAACTTCCATATTATAAACTTCTTTGTATAGCAAATTTTTGCACTGTACACCGTTCTTTCAGCCAAAAATATATGTAAAATTGCTTCTAAATAACAAACTTAAATTTCTATATAATGACTTTTTTAAATTTATAGGGACCATCCATCATTAAAACTTGATTACTCCATTTGGGTTGAGGTGGAATTAGGTTCAATTTAAATGTTTTTGTGGATACATTTTGTGCAAAAAATACAGAAAAATCATTTTATGGTCCAGAGAAACACTTCAGCCTTACTGTCATTTATTTCCAGCTGAATTCATTACACTATGCTATTACAAAGTTTTGAGAAACCAGATCAAGGACATTCTGTAAATAAAACAGTACCTCGTAAAGTAAGCAACATATGATCTTGAAAATTGGCATGTGCAGAGACAATACATCACAATATTTTCCAGAATTGTCAAATTCAAAGAATGGCAATTATGTGCGGTGTAATTATGCACGAAAATTGCTGCCTTGTGCATACAGCATAAGGCAGCAATTTTTAATGCGTATCCAAGTACAAAAACATGAAGATATTTCATAAATAGAATTAAAACTTAAAAATTAAAGGAATTTCATGTATGTCTTCATCAGTGATATTGAATATTCAGAATGTTAAAACCTAATGTGGCTACTTTTTTCTAAGAAAAATTAGTATTCTGATGTAGGCTAAATAAGCCTTAATATATGTACTATATATTTTTTTCTCCTGATATATATGTACAATGTATATACACACCAGAACAAATCCATTAACAAAATGAACTGTTCTAAGAAAACACTGAATTCAAATCACATGGTGTAGAAACAAGTTCCATCAACAAAAAGCAGTTTATAGGGCTACAGATATATCAGCATAGGATATTAAATTATTAAATATAGGTTGCATTATATAATTAATACATGCCTAATAACAAAGGAAATATGATAATGGAATAGTCTTATTACAATCTACAATACTGATCAGAAAACATTAAAACATTAGTACAGGTAACCCCTGTATAACACGGCACTTCTATAGCATGGATTCACTCTAACACAGTTCAAGAATTAGGAACATCCCCATATAACACGGATTTACTGTAACACGGTTCGAGCATTTGGTAAAACCCTCGTACAAAATGAAATGTAATAAATTTTCACATACTTAAGTATTAATAGTTCACGAAAATTATTATTTTTGTGAACTATTAGTACTTAAGTATGTAAATTTTCTTTTCTGCCTTCTGTCGATACACGTAATCCTTCTCGAAACTTGTTTCAGCATTGCCAGATCTCAACACTTCTGATTTTGTGTTGCCAGATATTTTTCCTTATTCCATACCTGCTTTATTCTTCATAAGTGCTTAGCACCATATAAGGAAATTTATAAAGATCTTTTAACTAAAAGCAAGCAATCTAAAATAACGTTTTTTGCAAAATGTAGAGCATGGATCTGAATATAATGCAGAAAAATGCTCAGAGGATAAGGATATCTTGCCAAAAAAAAAAACACCCTTGGTTAATAGTGCTTAGTGATGACGAAGAAAACATTGTTTAATTTATATTAATATGTATCGCTTAAGAAAATTTTAATAAAGATATTTATCTTAATTATGAAAATATAATAGCATGTTTTTTAATTTTTGGAACCTAACCACCCTTTTCGTACTAGTTCTTTGTTTCGTATAACACGGCAATTTTTTGGAACATAACTCTCGTGTTATATGGTGGTTACCTGTACATTGATATTATAATAAAATATTTAATTAATAAACTTTTTTTAAATGTTAAACTTAAATATGAATTACATTGTCTTTTGCAGGATGTTCATCAATTACAAGTTTTGCATCATCATCACTATTAGCAGCATCTTCCTCCTCCTCCTCTTCCTCTGCTGCTTCTTCTTCGACTTCTACTTCTTCTTTCTCTTCATTATTTTCAGTTTCTGTCATCTGTTTAAAATCACAAATATTAAAACATCAATATTTCATATCAAAGTAAATATTTCTACTTTAAATTCTTAGAAAAAAATTATTTTTAAGTTTAAAAATAAATATTTTAATTTATCTAATTAGTTTTTTTTTTTAAACTTTAGCTTCATAATCTAAAATAGTAATTGGAAAAGTTCAAAACACAATAAACTAAAAATTTACTTTACATAATTTCTTTAATTGTCTAAATACAAGTAATTCTCAACCAGTATGACATGGACTTTTCATACAGGTAACACCTAAAATTCCAAAGTTATCATTTAACAATGCTAACATTTATTTACTTTTTACTACTATTTCTGCATTTCGTATATATAAAAAAAATTACAAATCTTTAACGACACATTTTGTTTATACATAAGCATCTATGATACAATATTGGTTCATTGGTGCTGTATACCATCAAATCTCTGTGTATAATTAGTTCAAACAGATTGGGAACTACTGCTCTAGACTGTCCATTTGAAACTCTAAAGTTTATTTTTATGTACCAGATGTGAATTTAGTTGATTAAACAATCAAAAAAATAAATAAATAAAGATGTATTCTTTAAACTTAATTACTTACTATATGACTAGGTGGTAATGCTGTCGGATTATTTTCTATTTCCCACAATCCTGTGTTAAAATGTTTCCTCTTATGAGGTTTCCCATACTTTTGTTTGTATTTATCATATGGAAAAAGATCTTTTGATCCTAGAACAGCTCTGGAAATTTAAAAATCAAATAATGATTATCTAAAAATAAATTACATATAAAAAACTAAAAATCAGACAAAAATTAAATTTTATTTTATCCTATCTATTTAAAAATATATATTTAATTCTAAGAACTTTCAAAAAGCTTTATTCAGGAATATATATAAAATGGAATTGCAAAAAGAAAAAAAAAATTATACAAGAACCACATATGAAGAAAGGACTGAAAAACTTAATAGTGAAAAATAAGTTTTTATTAAATGATTACCCATATAACTTACTTAGAAAATGGGAGACAGAATATTTTAAATATCAATATAAAGTTAAAGAACAAAAGAAAATTATGTATTGTGACATCATCACAATGTTGGCTGCAATTTCTAATCACATTACTTTCTCAGTAATTATATATAAAGGGAAGGTATGGCAATTGGTGAAAAAAAATGAATCCCCCAAGATTTTTTAATTTTTGGACTTGAGACCTTGAAATGTTGAGAAATGCAAAAAATTTTAGAGGTATTTTCTGTATGTATGGATGTTAGTTTGTGCAGGGAGCACAATTTTGTTCACCCTCTTTAAAACTAATAACTTCCATGTTTTTTGTCAAAAATTGCTAAAATTTTGCAAGGAGGTTTGTGTATTGAGGATTGACACTATTAAATTTTGATAAGTAAAGGGTCATGTGTATCTCCAATAGGGTCACACTTAATGATAATTTTACTTGTTATTAGCATTTACAATTTTTTTATAAAACCCATCCCCACCCTCAAAATTAAGCTTTTTTGCCATTTTACAATAGTTAAAAACATAAAAAGTTTTTAAAACAAAATATCACAACAAACAGTATCACCAAAAATTGTTGGAAAAGTTAAACAACTCACTGCTGGATTTTTTAAATTTAAAATATATGTTCTTGATTTTAGTAGTGTCTTGTTTCTGTACATCATACTGTTCCTGATAACATTAAAGTCATGCCAGTCATTTAACTTCGTTTTGGAGAAAAATTTTGAATTGAAATAATGAGACTTTCAGTCCAGACTGAAAGTTCATACATACTTAATCAGGGCCTCCTGCTCCTATGTTTTCCATATCCGGTCTCAACATTCATCTGTCTAATTCCATTCTCAAGATTAAGGAAGGACAGACAGATGGACAACAATAGGAATTTATAGGTCTACAATTTTTTTCAAATTGCAGCCTAACAAGTAGAGAAATATGCCTTTCCATATGTTAAAAATATTCTGAAAGTTGTACTAGAAAATTAAAAAAAATTATTTTGGCATATATAAACATCTCTAAACCTGATATATTTGTAATAAGCCAAACAACTAGCAAATAACATCAGGCTACTTTTCCACAATTATATTTAATTAATTTCTAAATAATTTGTCTTAGAGAGAGGCATTAGGCACAATCTCTTATTCAATTTAATAATTATAATTACATTAAATAATTTAGAATATTCTGAAAGAAAAGAATTGACCCAGAGCAGGACTTGAACCCACAACTCCTCTTACTGTGCAAATGTGTTGCCAGTTATGCTACCTGAGCCTCCAAGTCCAATCTCCACAAGAGAAGATCAGACTGCAGGCTTGAGTATCATAAGTGAGGAAGTTGCAGGTTTAAGTTCTGTTGTGAACTGATTCTTTTCTTCCAGAATATTCTAAATTATTTAATCTATATATATAAAAATGAATGTGTGTGTGTGTGTGTGTGTGTGTGTGTGTGTGTGTGTCCTTCATGCATTACCACACCGTTTATCCGATTGCCGTGAAACTTTGGGAAGTTGTTTAATATACTCCGGCGAAGGTTTGTGGCATAGTACGATTGCCATAAAACTTTGGAAAGTTTTTTTAATTTTTTAATACACTCCCGCGAAGTACATTTATCCTACGATAGATGGCGCGCGTTTACACGAGCATTCGCGCACAGTGTGTTCGATCGATTTCAAATTGTGAAGACCATTTCCCCCCTTCAAAAAATATCTCTATATATGCATTTGTGAACTGTTATTTACGATATTTGTAATAATTTTTGTTTAATCACTTTATTTCAACTTTTTTTTGCTAATTATGTATTCGCTCGAACTTCGTTAAAACCTTAACTGTACCCCGAACAACAACCGAAGTTGTAGGAAGAAATTCGCGTATTTTACCGATCTAGGTATCCCCCTTTTCCAAATTTTAATATCGACTCAAAATAATTTAAAAAGACAAATTACAATAAAACGGTTTATTATCCAACTATCAGAAATTTCACAACATGCCAAGGAAGAGAGGAAGGAGCAATTAAATAATTAAAATTATAAAGGATTTAAAAAATATATATAAAAATGGGGAATATCGCACTTCTGACAATCGCTGCAAGTGTGTGGGCTAAATTTGGAGAATCCGTGCTTCTCGCATGGACAACTGTATGTGGCCAGCTCACGCGTCGGAAAACCTTCTGATTTATTCGTGTACGCACCAGACGGAAAAACAAAAAATATTGTGTATCCACAAACACTCCAATAAATAAATAGAATTGAAACGACACTTTGAAATGTTTTCCCGATGAAAATGAATAATAATAACAAGTTTCAATAAAAATGATAAAATGTAAATTTAATTTTATCATAACCAGTTTGCTTGAATTTCGTTTCTTCTGAGTTTGCAGCAATGTGCGACGGGTAAGCTAGTGTAATTATAATTATTAAATTTAATAAGTGATGGAGCCTAATGCCTCACTCCAGGTCAAATTATTTAGAAATTAATTAAATTTAATCACGGAAAAGTAGCCCGATATTATCTAATAGTTGTTCAGTTTATTGTAAATTATTTTGGCACCAATAATGAAAAATAAATTAAGTAAAATTTATATATATAAAAAAGTAAAAATTAATATTTTTCAGAAATCAGAAGTTATTTATGAAATTAAATGCATGTGTCAAGAACAGAAAACATATATAGACAAAAAAGGTTGAAAAACAGAATTAAACAACACCTGACAGTGATTAGATTGAAATATGTAAATTTGCCATGGTAAATGAAAATAATTGTAATATAGAAATTTCAAAAATTAATATAGTGGATAAAGAAAGCAATATCTATAAAAGAAAATTTAGAGCATCAGGTAATAATTAAAACTAAATTAAATAAAATGTAAATGGCAATATACAAATTTTCATGGGTTGGTATGACGTTATTAAAGTGGTTGATAATGCATGACTAAATTGTATCTCTGTACTCTGGTGTGGTAAAAAACATGTTCACATTGTACCACTTGTTCTCTGTGTATCTATTTCAACTACTGAAGAGGAACTGTGGAAAAACACATTTTGAAATGCATTTAGTATAAGCAAATCTCTTCTGTTATAAAAAAAAATCAAGTGGTTTTTTAAAAGTATATTCCTTTTTGAAGGTTTTTAGAATTAAATACATATTTTAATAAATCTCCCATAATATACAAAAAAAAAAAAAAAATATCTATCTATTGTTATTTAATATAAAGTGCTTAACTATACTGCTAAACTTGATGTAGACATATGATTTTAATTATTGAATAGATAATATGTATAATCAACTCCAAAGTTTAAAAAAAATTACATAATTTCAAAATCGACCGACTTTAGTAGGAGCTGAAAAATTATGACAATTCCAATGTTTTTGGAATTGTAATAAAGACTCTGTCTAAAGCTTAAACAACAAATTTAATGTTACTTTTTAAAAATACTTTTTAAATCAAAAGCATAAAAAAGACAAACCAATATCCATACAGAAAACTTTTGTAAGGTACATCAAATTATAAAAAAAATAAAACAATTTTATTTTTAAATATCAATTATATTAAATTATGTACCAGTACATATATTTAAATCATCAAACTGATTAAAATTATTATCCAAGATAAATAATAAATCATGACTTACAAATTTATTCAACTAATTATCTTGAAATGTCCTTAAAAAAAAATTTAGTTAAAAACAATAAAATCGACAAATTAATTGCTACATCTTTTTTGCATTCATTTATTTTCATAAAGATAATATTTATATCATCTTTATTGGGAATATCATTTCTTATTGACCTTCCATCAAACTAAACTTATGGCATTTCTTTTTAAGTTATCTGATTTCATTTTCTGGGTCTCAACTTTTGATCCTTCTATTATTCATTATTTAGACTTACAGAATATTAAACAAGAATATTCTCAATATTTTGCTATTTCCAATTATATCTTTACTCCTTGTATTTTTATTTTCTAAATGTTCCTAAAAATTTTTATTAACATGTCTATTTACTATTTTAATACATTTCATATTTTAGTTTGTTGTATTTATGTCTGTAGTTTCACACACTTGCAAAATTGCAAGTGTGTAAAACTACACCAGTGTTCCTTCATTGTATTCTTAATGTGTAAGTTTAAACCTGGTGAAGAACTATAAACTAGCTTGAAGGCATTAGCAAAAGTTCATTGCTAGATATCTAAAAAGGTGTTCTATTCATTCTTTACAGTGACATTAAATGCATTACATGCCAATTAAATACAAGTTTACATTAAAAACAAAAAAAGTAAAAGTATAGTGAATGCAAACTATATTAATCTTCTTTTAAAAAAACAATTTCATTAGTATCATTCTCACTGGATCATGCTTGCAAGATTCAGCATTTACTTCCAATACGTATCTTTTTTACCACATTTCTAAGCTTTCATGCAGGAAAACCTTGCTATTAGATGTAATTTTCTAACATTTCTATTATTTTTTGTGAATCTCTACTGTTGATTTGCTAGCTGTTTAAAAAAATTGGAAAATTCCAACATTCTATTTTATTGGAAGATTGTGTTACAGAATTTGAGCTTGTTTAACCCTTCACAGGGCAAACTTGTGGCAAATTGGCAACTAAATTTCAGGAATCAGGTTAAATTTTCATGCTCCTAATTGAGATCTATTCTTCCTGTATTTAATCAACAAGATAGCATTATGTATTAAAAGAGACAAGAGACAAAATAGGCAGCAGCATTTTGATATT